CTAAAAATAGAACACAGCAATGATCACAAAAACGAGTGTGATGACGTGACAACTATAAATAGAATTTGACGTGGAGACATGTCAGATTTATAAAAATAGAATCGAATGACGTGGTAACACATCAATGAGGTTAAATAAAAACTCAATTGACGTAATCAATACGTGGTTAAAACTCAAAGAATTATGGGATAGATAACACAAAAATCTAAAAATTAGTCAGCACAAAATCTTAAAAACTCAAAATGAAAAGTCAGATGACTCACTGACCAAATTTATAGTAAAATTATAATAAAAATATTATAAAATATAATAAAAATATATAGTCAGTAAAATATATATATATATATTTTTTGGGGTGTCAGAGTCAGAATAAGAATAAAATTGACACACTAACTGACCAATATGGGATATATAACATAAAATTATGGGAATAAAAAAGAAACACTAAAAATGTTAGTATAATGAATAGTATAACAACATTAATAAAGTAACACAAAATAACAACGAGTGGTGTATAACATAAAAGTCAGCGCAACTGAATTATTAGATCGCTGACCCTAGTTTATATAGTAACGTACATGTGGCATGGTTGAAAATAACGTTCAAAATTTTCAAATGGTGAGGAATTATGGTGAAAAAAAGGTGCCGAAATAAGAAGAAAATGTAACATAGAAACATAAAGAAGCAGAGAAACATAAAAAATCAAATAAACAACAAGAGAAAGGTGAGGTATTACGACAGCGATGAGGAATTAGAATGACGATTAAACAAGATATAATAAAATAAACAATGTCAAATAGAATACAACGATTAGTAATACATATGTAATCAACAAAATAAATAAACGAGAACAATCTATTATCATTTTATACAAATTAAACAAGTTAATACAACAAATGAGCATTAACAATGAATCAATCAACAATAAACATATATCAAAATATGAATATAAAAAACAACATATTTTTATAGGAGGTGGAATTGCAACGGGTAAAACAACAATGTTAAACTTATTACACGAATACATGGATTATTATACAAACACGTTATTTATAAAAGATTACATCGATTACGACAAAGAAGGAATTATCAAATTAAAACAATTATTCAATGGTTTGATTACCGATTATGAATTTCAAACATACGTATTAAACTGTTATGAAAAACATTTAAACAGTCCCATTTACGAAAACGCCGATTTTATATTATGGGATAGACATCCCAGTGAAGCTTTAGAAATATGCTGCAAAGACAAAAACCGCTTGACAAAAGAAGAAAGAGATAAATTAAAACAACGTCTAGAGCAAATTTATAGAAGATATGAAATACCGTTATTAACCAACAACAATGTCTCGATTATAAATATAGACACTTCACGAATTTCAGTCGAAATAGCACAAGAAGCATTAATTAACGTATTTATTCATTCCGCAATGCTAGGTATAACAGATGGAAGCATATTCGTTCTATTATATTGTGGAGATTCAGAAACACAATTTAAAAGAATAGTCAAAAGAGGAAGACAAGTAGAATTAGAAATGTACAAAAAGAAAGAAGATTTGTCAAAGCTAAACCAGTGTTATATTGACTTCTACGTTAAACTAATAACAGAAAAGACGAGCTCTAAGAAGTAATTAACTGATTATTCTCATTTGATATTTATTAATGGAAGATACAGAAAACAGCTTTATCAAGAAATTAGAACACAGACAACCAAAGTTATTAATGAGAATATGTTATTCTATAGCAGCAGCAATCGTATTACTTATACTAACAATATGTATTATCGTTGCAGAGCTGATTGTAAAATTCCTAGAATAAACAACTAAAAAGAATTTAATTATTTTTTTTTGGGTTTAGTAAAATCTTTCCTTTTCAATTCACGAACTGCTCTACAGGTTCTAAAAGCATCTATGACATTTTTATGTTTAACAAGCATTTCATTAGACAATTTTGCGATATCTTCTATTAAAAATGCTTCATCCTCAATCAACTTACCATATTTATCACTTCCACTTGTAGTAATTTGCTCTTTCTCACATAATATCTTCATGTCATCACACATATTTTGCAAATCCCCCAAATCAGAATAATATTCATAAAGAGCATTAACAGCTATCTCTTCCAATGGATATAATTCACAGCGTTCTTCAAGAGTATAAGACATAATGTTATACAATCATTAATCAGTTTTAAGTTTAAATGACTGTGCATACAAATATCCACGTAAGAGAAAACATCAAACAGACAATTTATTTGTCATCCAGACACAAAACAGACAATTTTTTATAATATATTTAACACGATGAGGAATTTCTTTTGGGTATTTAAACATTATCAGAACTGATATATTCATCGTCAAAACATGGAAACACCCCAGACAGTTCGTGCAATAATCGAATCAAAAATATCAGAATTAAAGAATGAAATCAGATATCAATTAACAACAAACTTAACTGAAGACGGAAGAAGTCTGATATACACAATAGCTTATTGGGCCAAACAAGTAATGTTTAATAACGAATACAATTACAACAAACAACTCTTTGACTACTTAGAAATATTCTATAACGATCTTCCGGTTTTATTAGTCGATTTTACTAGACTTCAGACAATATTAGGAGAAATCAAATTCTTCTATAATCCAGAATATAAAGAACACATGAAATAATAATTTATTCTGATTATAAAATTTATGTTTATTTTTTTCTTGTTATTTTTTTTTAATAAAAAGGAAGCCCTCCTAACGGAGGGTGTTAAATTTATCAATATCATTACGTTTACAAAACAATTAAACAAACAACATTATAAAGAAAAGTAAATTACTCATCACTACTATCAGCTTTCTTCGGCTTCTTCTCTTCGTCCTTAGATTTAACAGGCTTTAATAAAGCTCGCTTTGATTTTTGTTCACTCACCTCGTCATTAATACAAGCATTATCATCATCCGCATCATTCTTTTTTGAATACTTTCTTATCCATTCTGGTATAGTATCTTGGTTAATACACTTTTTACCCTTCTTAATATTAAACTTCCTATTCCAAGCGTTGAAAGAATTTAGTCCGATTCCATTCTCATCCAAGTAACGAGATATTTGTTCACATCGTCTAATACACTCCAATTTATTTCTGATTAAATCCTGACGCTCTTCATCCGTTTTAACCTTATCACTTGAATTTAATTTCCAATCGATATAAGAGGGCTCCTTCATTGTATAATAAAATTTCTTAAGGAAGCCATTTATACCGGGTTCAGTTTGAGATTCTGTGTATACATCAATTAAGTCCATTGATGCAACATCGTTAAAGATATCGTCATGTGGTCTATTAAAAGAGGACATAATATTTATTTTTTATTTTTTCAAGTTCATAGAAAGGGTTAAATAACCCAACTCCATTCAATGATGTCACCGACACGCAACAAAAACCTCAACAGATTATATAAATAGTTCACGCCAAACATTATTTATTTATGTCAACACAAGAATTCCACAACGAACCAACAAAACTAGACGAAGTCCACCTAAAAGAAACTCTTGCTCACAACAAAGCTTTACACTTCACCTCAAGATATATGTACTTAACCTTATGGGGTGACGAAATTAGTAACCAAACACAATTCAAGGAAGTTATAGATCGTATTGCAGGTCCCACTAATAACTTACAATATGCACACATCTCGCCTGTAGAGAAAGACGAGATAAATCCGCGTCCACATCAACACTTACTCATAGTAACCAAAAGGCCTCGTTCATTCAAAGCTCGCCCAATTATTAAACATTCAGACGGAACACAACAAACGTTCTGGTATTCACGTGTTAATTCATATACATCAAGGACGGGCGATATATCCAACATCATCAAATATATAACGAAAAAAGGACAAGGTATGTATAAGGGAGATCCAACACTAAAAGAAGACCTAAAACAAACCTGGATAAACGCATTAAACGACCTAGATTCTTACCAAGATTTTAACGAATTGGAAAAAAACTTATTAGATATTAATGCCGAGAAATACATCCAACAAGAAGGAAAAATAAAAGCACGTTGGATGAGAAAGAACGCTAGACGTCTTGATATAGAGAATTACACCAGAACAGATTTACTTCCATGGAGAGAAGATATGGAAGAGATACAGACAATACGAAAGTGGTTAAAATGCGCACAAGGAAACAAATACAGAATGGGAAACCTGTTCATAGTAGGTCCTACTAAAACGGGTAAGACTGAATTCGCAATACAAGAAATATTTTTAAAATACAACACTTTCATGCTAAGAGGAGACTCCTTATTCGACGCATACGACGATGAACAGAATTACCGTTTTATATTATTTGATGATATAAATTATGATAAGAATTTATTAAGATTAATCAAAGCCATTACATCTACTATAAACAAGAAAACGATGGTAAATGTAAAGTACTCCAAAGCCATTGTAACCGCCCGTCCTTGTATACATTTATTAAATCAAAAAGAATATGAAGGAGTCGTAGACTTAATGAAATACAACGGTGGTTATAATTGGTGGAAAAGGAACTCACTCACAGTATTTATAGACAAGAAATTATATAAAGATCCCGAAGACATGGAAAAACAAGAAGAAAACTACAATGCCATGGAAGACCTACAAGAAAAGTATGATAGTATTAAAGATATTCCAGATGAACAAGACTCGGAAGAAACCAATCCAATAGAACATGTTTCATTTTACAAAAGAGTAACCAGTTTAATGGAATCACTTGGTTACGACGAAGAGTTCTTAGAAGGACTAACAGAAAAATTAACAGAGGCAAAGAAAGATAAAAAGATGAAAAAATTACTAAATGAATCACAAGAAGACAATGCAAGCATGATAGAAGAGTGGAATGAAGACTTAGAAGAATACCAAACAGATAACCCACTCGGCATGACAAAAGAAGATTTTAACAACTTCGAAAGAGAAACAATGTCACAATATGAAAAACAGAGAAGTAGTTACTTCAATAAACAAACGACGAATACATGGAAGAAGATGATGAGTATGACGACGAAGATGATGATTATGACAATGAAAACGCTCCATTAGAACACATCCATTTAATGGAAAAGATAATGATATGGATATCATCTATGATTAAAAATAATTGAATTATTTAAATTCAAAACGTCTTATTTCCGGTCTTCTTTTATATTTTGGATCATCAGCAGGATTAGTCTGGTGTGGTTGAGTAGTAGATGGATCAAATGAAGCACCATCAATAGAAGGAGCCTTTGGCTTTTTTTCTGGATAATCCATCTGATATTGTTGATATGGATATTCTAACAACTGCTGTGGTTCATAATTATATTCAAGTTTTGGTTGTTTAGGTTTATTAGTAATTTGAGGAGGTCTATAATCAAATCCAATAGTTTGTTGAGTCTGTTTATCCTTAAGTAAAGGTTTACCCGTTTTATCTTTAAGTACTAATGGTTTAACATCAGTCAATGCTTGAGTAGGAACTTGAGTCTCTTCTCCGAGAGTAACAATATTCAAATCCTTCAACAAATCTTCATCTACTTCCATTACAACAGCACTTGGTTTATATCCAGGTTTATTCTTTTTAGGATTAGTGAGGTCTTTAATATAATCATCATTACTTTTAACAGTATTATCAACTTTAGTAACTTGACCATTTTGTTTAGCTTGTTCATCTCGATTAACTTGATTATAATAATCCTTCTGAGTACGTGTATAATATTCTTGTAAATTCTCTTGTACTTTAGGATTACGTAAAGCCAGACTCAAAGAACCAGATTGAACACCATTTTCAATTAATAATTGTTGTTGTTTAGAAACATTATCATGTTCAGTAGCTGCATCATACGCATTCATAAAATTAGTAGCATCCTTTTTAAGAAGTTCATATGCTTGTCTTCGATCATTAGAACTAGCAGAAGGATCAGTATACTGTTTTATAACATAATCTACAGTCTCAAAATATCGTTGTGTATATTTATTATTTTTGTGTACTCTACCTTCATGAGCACCAACTTTCTTTTCAACCTGAGCAAATACCTTATATACTTCATCAAATAACCCACGTTCAGCATTATACTCGAGAAAACGCTGTTGTTTAAAGCCAGTAAAAGCTTGAGAAGCAATACGATTCTTTCCAATAAAAGCCTTTGCAAACTCTCTATCTTCAACGATTTCGGGTTGAGATACATGAACCTTATCAGCACGTGTAGCAACAGGAATAACAACTACAACCTTTTGTTTACCTTCTTTATAATTTTGAGCAGCGTTATAATCTCTATTACCTTCTCCATAAGCAGTTTGTATATTATTAATATTATTAACCATATTTGATATATCAGTATTAGGATTTTGATTATACAATCTAAAACCTCTAGCAACTGCAGCAAATTGTGCGTCAAGTGTTCTTATTACCTTAGTACGTTCAGCCGGATCAGAAATACTATAAACATATTTATATAATTCATCTTTATCGATTTTTAAATTTCCACCAACTTTATTACAAATACTTATAATAGGTTTCCATCTTTCAAAATACACATCGTTATTTTGTTGTCTAAATACTTCATTATTAACTTTCTTTTCAACAACCAATGCATTCTGCTTCATATATTCAAAATCTTTTTCAAAATGTTGTTGATTATCTTTAGCGTTGACAAGAGATCGTTGATTATATTCAATACGTTCATTTAAATGTTGGATATAATTTAAAATCTGATCCTGTTCACGTTTATATTGATCTGGACTAACCACCTTTAAATTAGTCAAATACGCAGTAAGATCAAAAACCGTTTTTCTAAGAATTTGATTTTCACCTTCATATTGCATAATAGCTCTAGCAAGATCATTTTGACCTCTATATAATAATTTATTTTCATTACTTAAAGTAGCGAGCGTAGCATCAGTTTCTCGTTTATTCCTAGCAATAATATTCATCAACTGTCCCATTGTAACTCGATGAGCATTTAAAATATTTTCAATACCATCAATACGATTATCCATATTTTTAACATTATTAACATAATATCCCAATTCTTGTAAACGATTATCCGTCTGATCAAATTTAGAATTCAAATAATTCTGATAAGCACGCATTTCATCTCTAGTAATAAACATATTTTGATTACGATTAAGTTCAATTTGTTGTTGTTCTAATTGCTTTTGTTTATTTTTAATCTTCTTAATTCTCCTATTAGCTTCTTGTTGATCTAAACTACCTTTCTTAACAGCTTCTTTAATATCACGTATTTCACGTGTATTATAATTTATTTGATCTTGAAGAGTTTCTTGATACGTATCATATGTAATAAACTTCTGTCTATAATCATTGAATCGTTTTTCAGTACGTTCAGCATATTCATCTAAATCACTATCAGCAATTTGAGCTTTTAATTTAGCTTCATTAGCAATACGATTAGCATCATTAATTTGTTGTTGTAACGATTGATTAACACCCTGCTGCTGTCTATTATTATCTCTAATTTGTTGTTTCATTTCATCTCTCATTTCTTGTTTAATTTTATTTCGTTCATCTTCACTCAGTGGTTGTCGAGGTTTAACTCTATCTTTTTCTTCTTCTTCATCATTTTTAGAATATCTATCATAAGGTACATAAGGACGTACACCATATCGATAAAATTGAACTTCATTATCAATAGGCTGTCTATTATATCTAAATTGTGTACGATAACCAGACCAATTAGTATGATATTCTTCATCTTCATCATCATAAATTCTTCTTTTATAACCACGTCTTAATTTTTTACGTTTAAAACGATTCCAATGAGGTTGTATAACATCAAAATAACGATTCATTAAAAATAAGTAGATTAAAGATTAGGATTTGACTCAGGCATACCATTGTTAGGCATTACAATTCCTCCATTAGTATAACTAGAATCACTTGCATTATATACTGTATCAGGATTAATAGAAGGTTTACTACTATTATCAGCATTTCCAACTACAATATAAGCAGAAGCATCAGCAGCAGAAGGAACAACTAATCCCATATTATTTTTAGCATAACCAATAAATCCAGAATATGGTTTAAATATTTGTGAATTTGGAACAAGAACTTTTCTTAATCCTCTTAATGTAACATCAAATTGCCAATGAATAGTTAAAGTACAAGCATTCATAGCAGCAACAGCTTGTGGAGCTTTAAGTGAAATAAGTAATTGAGGATTCCATGCACTATACATATTATCTTGTGATAATACTTGTTTAGTATTTGTTGTTGGTAAATACATTGATTTTTCCATCATTGATGCAGCATCTAATTGTCTAATAACACCCCATCTACTTCCATAATACAATGTCTTTTCATTTGCAGATGAATAACTTGATACAACACCATAATCAGGTACTCCAAAATATTTAGTACCATTAACTTCAACTACTTTAATTTTAACACCATTTCTATCCCATGCAGTACAAATAGAAGGGAAAGTAGCACTATTCAATAAACCATTACCAATAAATGTCATTTCAAGTGATGCTCTAACAGCATTAACTTTATATTGATCATACATTCCCATATAATTTTCAAAATATTGAGTAGAAGTAAGAATAGCATTTACATTTCTAATTAATGTAGCTTCACTTGAACCAATAGGTACATTAATATTAACATCTTCTTGTACAGAGATTACTACTTAGTAGAATCTCTTTGTTGCATTGCACTTGCAAAATTACCAAATGCTTGTCTTCTTAAAGTACTTCTCCTTCCTCTTCTTCTCATAATACGTCTACCTCGCATTCTTCTTGGCATAACCAAATGAAAATAATAGATCAATTAGTTCACATATAATAAAGGCACAGTCTTACCAGATAAAGAATCAACTTTACTAACATAAGTAGAAGAAATGGATGTATTATTATTCGTAAAAACAGCAGCAATATAATCATCAGAAGTAGATCTTCCAATATTAAGTCCACCACCATTCATAGTAAATTTACCAGAATTACTAATAACACTATTCTTATATTTAACTCCAACAGCAATAGAATAGTTATTTTCATAAGTAGTACCAATAACATCATCAAAGAAATTATTCATATCAAAATCAGAAGAATCGCTAGCAACACCATAAGAATAAATTCTAAGAGCATTACTAACACTTCCCATAAGAATAGCATAAACATAATCATTATTACTATAAGAAGCATTAGTAATAGCATTATTCCAATTCTCATTAGGTTTTCTAATATAAATATCAAAATACATATAATCATTTTCATAATGTCCTTTTCCAGTAAGAGGAATCATTTCATTTAATACACTTGAACCATCAGAAATATACCAATGTAAGAAAGAAAACGATTCAACAATTTCATTCTTAGTTGTTCTCAATTGCTTAAATCTTACTGTAATATATCCCATAACTTTAAGAATATAACTATCATTAATTGTTAAACTAGCATTAGTACTAACCTGATTCAAATAAGCAGTCCATTGATTATTATCAATAAAATCGAGTCTGGTACCTCTGATTTCAGTTATTTCAATTTTAACACCTTCTTTTAATATAGCATATAAATCATTAGGAGCTTGTTCAGTTGGTTCAGCACCTTTCTCAAGAACAACAGTATTAGTCTGTTTAACACTTGAAGCAGTATTCCATTCTGATTGATTTTCATCAAAATATTGAACAACACTCAACATACGATTATTTTCATCACCAGTCATACCAGGCAATTGAGCTTTTGCACCATACAATACACAAGGAATAAATCTACCATTCTGTAATTCTGGTTTAAATTCATATAATTTACCACTCATAATTGTTGGAATTGTCATCATCTTTTCACTACTACTAACACCTTGAATATCTAATGATAAATGCATTGGTGCACCTGGCATTTTAGATTGATAAATATAAGAAGAATAAGAAGAAAACTCATCATAAGATGGTTCACTATAATAAGTATTACTTCCAATTACATTTTGATAAAATCCATTAGGAATTGTACGTCTAGCAGCCATTCCATAAATACAAGGAAATGTTATTTCTTGTGTAACAATACTTCCTTGTTCATTAGAAGGTTTATTAATAGCTTTACCATATGAATAATTTGTATTTAAATAAGTAAGTAAGTTATTTGATTGTTCAGCTTCAGTCAAATCACCAGTAGTAATTAATTTAATAAAATCGTTATATGTATAAGAAGTATAATTAACACCATTATCAGTACTTACTCTATAAGCATAATTTGTATTCCAAACAGTATTAAATGAAACATTAGCACTTACACCTTTAGTAACATCACCACAAATATGTACATCCATAATTTTAAATTGATCAAAACAATCACATAATTCTCTAAATACAAGACTCTTACTTAATAAACCTAATGAACCAATAGTATGAACATCATTACCAATTCCAGTAACACCAGTAATATCAATTTTACCTTCCCATGAATCACTCACTGGAATAGTAGCAGTTAACTCTTGTTGTGAACTTCTTTTAACAACATCAACATTTTTTCTTGGTTTCATAGCATCACGTCCATTGGTGGAATTAGCAGCAGATCTCATCTAAATGAATAATAAGTTAAGATGCAAGAACTATATGACATAACAGATATTAAAAAACAATTAGAAACAACAAATTCTGATACTTTTAATATTATTTCAGAAAAAAATAAATATACTTTATACAATTTTCCTTCTTCACCTAATTTACAACAAAAAACAATTACTTATACATCAAATGGTATTAAAGATTTAGTACCAGATGATGGTTATGAAGGAATTTCACAAGCTAAAATTAACATTATTGTACCTCAACAATCATTACAAGAAAAAACAATTACTTACACAACAAGAGGAACACAAACACTGCTACCAGATACAAATTATGATGGAATATCTAAAGCAACAATTAATATAAATGTACCACAACCAGTATTTAACGAAATAACAGCAAATATTTCAGATAATGGAACATATAATTACACTCCAAGTCCTTCAACAGATGGTATTTCTAAAGTAACAATAAATGTAAATGTTTTACAATATTTCATAGATAAATTAAATTGTTATTACTTAAACACTTCACATATACAAAACTTAAGAGAAATATCAACAATTATTGTATATGGACCAACAACAGAAAGTGATATCAAATGGACAAATAGATGGGGAAGATTTATAGGATATTCAGACACTGCATCAATCACATTATCTTCTTCATGGGCATTCATAATAATGTGGAAAGGATCAGACAATGAAGCATACATTCAATTACAACGTTCAACATCAATTCCAATACGAAAAGGAGTACTTACATGGGTTCACGTATTAGAAGAAGACACATCAACAGTTATATTACGATGTATGGACTCATCAAAAAATGATAGAGCATTATTTGTTTCATACGTTGAAGAATTCTCAGAACCAAGAGACTTTATAGACCTGTACTTCTTCTACCACACAATATTTAAATAACTCTTTAATCTTTTTATTTTCATTTTAATGGAAGAAATATACAACGTCACTTCATTAGCACAAGAAATTAAAGATGCTGGTCAATCTTACTTTGATATCATAAGTGAAAAAACAACATATAGATTAGAAAACTTTCCAGAAGATCAAACACAAAATTTACTTATACCATTCAAACAACTTTCAGGAAATCCAACATACATAGAAGATTCAACAACTACAACTATCACATTCGCAGAAATGATTCCACATTTATATTCATCAACAACTGATATGGATTCCGATGCAGTAGATGCCCAAACAATAAAAACAAATTCAAATATTTATTATGCACTTATAAAAAACGCAGACACATCAGAACATGATTATGGAATACCAACAAACGCATTACAAGGAGGCTTCTTCGCAATACTTTTCAAAGTAACAGAAGGAACAACGAACATGGAAAAAGTATCAATAACAATGAAAACTCCATCCCAAGAAAGTACTCCAATAACACTTTATCCAAATTCACATGGAATTTTTATTTCAATTTCATCTCCAGGAAACCTTCTTCTTTCAAATACAAATACTTCAACAAGTCAACAATATAAAGAGCTGAAGCTAAACATCCCTTTCGAATCAGGCAATTCAATTTACCTATCTCTGGATATGTTCGATCCTTCAATAATAAACATTTAATTCAATTTCTTTGTGAAAATTTAAGGTTGTCAGTTGTCAGGAAAATAAGAGTGAAATAACAACCGAAGGGAAGTGCATGTAACGATTTCCTGATAACTGATAACATTAAATCAAGCAAAGGAATTTTATGTTATATATCCCATATTGGTCAGTTAGTGTGTCAATTTTATTCTTATTCTGACTCTGACACCCCAAAAAATATATATATATATATTTTACTGACTATATATTTTTATTATATTTTATAATATTTTTATTATAATTTTACTATAAATTTGGTCAGTGAGTCATCTGACTTTTCATTTTGAGTTTTTAAGATTTTGTGCTGACTAATTTTTAGATTTTTGTGTTATCTATCCCATAATTCTTTGAGTTTTAACCACGTATTGATTACGTCAATTGAGTTTTTATTTAACCTCATTGATGTGTTACCACGTCATTCGATTCTATTTTTATAAATCTGACATGTCTCCACGTCAAATTCTATTTATAGTTGTCACGTCATCACACTCGTTTTTGTGATCATTGCTGTGTTCTATTTTTAGAAACACATAGTCATTTCATTGTGAAATATA